GTTACAATGTTGACTATTAATCTGGCCAAATGTCATCCGAGGATACAAACAGCGCTGATCAAATGACACAACAGATTCTGGGGAGGATGCTCTAAAGTCTAACAACCAGTCCTGAATAAGAGAAAAGTCAAAATCGGAAGACACGGATTCCGGGGACAACGCCCTGCTACTAAATAACTTATCAAGTTCAAAGTCTGATAAAACTGACTGCGGAGACTCTGGTCTATTCTCATCAAATAGGGTTTCCAGACACAAATCAGTACCTTCCCAGTCAGAAAATGTTGATTCTGGGGTAAACGACCTGTGTCTTGACAATTCCATATCGTAAACAACATGGGGACATCTGAACTGAGGAACAGGTGAGTCAGGAGAGAGGGGTCTAAGTTCACTTTGAGATGAGACCGACTCAGGAGAATGTGGTCTTAAGTCGGTGACACACTCGTCTACGGATGAGTGAGTGTATTCCTTTTCTGATGACACAGACATGGGCCAAAGTGGTCTCAGCTCAAATGATCTGACGCCCAAAAACGCATCAGCATGTTTTTCATGTGTAATGCCCCGCACAATATCTGCATATGTATAAGGTCTGGCAGCAGAAAGTGGTGGAGATGTGGTCACAGTTACGCCTGTTTGCTTATTTTCAATCCGTGAAGAAAATGAGTCTGGTGAATCTGGTCTGTTGTCGTCAAACAAGTCCTCAAGATAAAATCCAGAATACTCAACATCTGACGTTGTTGAAATAGGTGATACGGGTCTACTTTCAGAGTACTGTAAGTAATAGTTACAATGTTGACTATTAATCTGGCCAAATGTCATCCGAGGATACAAACAGCGCTGATCAAATGACACAACAGATTCTGGGGAGGATGCTCTAAAGTCTAACAACCAGTCCTGAATAAGAGAAAAGTCCAAATCGGAAGACACAGATTCTGGGGACAAGGCCCTGCTACTAAATAACTTATCAAGTTCAAAGTCTGATGAAACTGACTGCGGAGACTCTGGTCTATTCTCATCAAATAGGGTTTCAAGACACAAATCAGTACCTTCCCAGTCAGAAAATGTTGATTCTGGGGTAAACGACCTGTGTCTTGACAATTCCATATCGTAAACATGGGGAAAACTGAACTGAGGAATAGGTGAGTCAGGAGAAAGGGGTCTAACCTGGCCAAATGTCATGGGAGGAGACAAACACCACTGCTCAGCTGACACAACATATTCCGGGGAGGATGCTCTGAAGTCTAACAACCAGTCCTGAATGAGAGAAAAGTCAAAATCGGAAGACACGGATTCCGGGGACAACGCCCTGCTACTAAATAACTTATCAAGTTCAAAGTCTGATAAAACTGACTGCGGAGACTCTGGTCTATTCTCATCAAATAGGGTTTCCAGACACAAATCAGTACCTTCCCAGTCAGAAAATGTTGATTCTGGGGTAAACGACCTGTGTCTTGACAATTCCATATCGTAAACAACATGGGGACATCTGAACTGAGGAACAGGTGAGTCAGGAGAGAGGGGTCTAAGTTCACTTTGAGATGAGACCGACTCGGGAGAATGTGGTCTTAAGTCGGTGACACACTCGTCTACGGATGAGTGAGTGTATTCCTTTTCTGATGACACAGACATGGGCCAAAGTGGTCTCAGCTCAAATGATCTGACGCCCAAAAACGCATCAGCATGTTTTTCATGTGTAATGCCCCGCACAATATCTGCATATGTATAAGGTCTGGCAGCAGAAAGTGGTGGAGATGTGGTCACAGTTACGCCTGTTTGCTTATTTTCAATCCGTGAAGAAAATGAGTCTGGTGAATCTGGTCTGTTGTCGTCAAACAAGTCCTCAAGATAAAATCCAGAATACTCAACATCTGACGTTGTTGAAATAGGTGATACGGGTCTACTTTCAGAGTACTGTAAGTAATAGTTACAATGTTGACTATTAATCTGGCCAAATGTCATCCGAGGATACAAACAGCGCTGATCAAATGACACAACAGATTCCGGGGAGGATGCTCGGAAGTCTAACAACCAGTCCTGAATGAGAGAAAAGTCAAAATCGGAAGACACGGATTCCGGGGACAAGGCCCTGCTACTAAATAACTTATTAAGTTCAAAGTCTGATGAAACTGACTGCGGAGACTCTGGTCTATTCTCATCAAATAGGGTTTCCAGACACAAATCAGTACCTTCCCAGTCAGAAAATGTTGATTCTGGGGTAAACGACCTGTGTCTTGACAATTCCATATCGTAAACATGGGGAAAACTGAACTGAGGAATAGGTGAGTCAGGAGAAAGGGGTCTAACCTGGCCAAATGTCATGGGAGGAGACAAACACCACTGCTCAGCTGACACAACATATTCCGGGGAGGATGCTCTGAAGTCTAACAACCAGTCCTGAATGAGAGAAAAGTCAAAATCGGAAGACACGGATTCTGGGGACAATGCCCTGCTACTAAATAACTTATCGAGTTCAAAGTCTGATAAAACTGACTGCGGAGACTCTGGTCTATTCTCATCAAATAGGGTTTCCAGACACAAATCAGTACCTTCCCAGTCAGAAAATGTTGATTCTGGGGTAAACGACCTGTGTCTTGACAATTCCATATCGTAAACAACATGGGGACATCTGAACTGAGGAACAGGTGAGTCAGGAGAGAGGGGTCTAAGTTCACTTTGAGATGAGACCGACTCGGGAGAATGTGGTCTTAAGTCGGTGACACACTCGTCTACGGATGAGTGAGTGTATTCCTTTTCTGATGACACAGACATGGGCCAAAGTGGTCTCAGCTCAAATGATCTGACGCCCAAAACCCATCAGCATGTTTTTCATGTGTAATGCCCCGCACAATATCTGCATATGTATAAGGTCTGGCAGCAGAAAGTGGTGGAGATGTGGTCACAGTTACGCCTGTTTGCTTATTTTCAATCTGTGAAGAAAATGAGTCTGGTGAATCTGGTCTGCTGTCGTCAAACAAGTCCTCAAGATAAAATCCAGAATACTCAACATCTGACGTTGTTGAAATAGGTGATACAGGTCTACTTTCAGAGTACTGTAAGTAATAGTTACAATGTTGACTATTAATCTGGCCAAATGTCATCCGAGGATACAAACAGCACTGATCAAATGACACAACAGATTCTGGGGAGGATGCTCTAAAGTCTAACAACCAGTCCTGAATAAGAGAAAAGTCCAAATCGGAAGACACAGATTCTGGGGACAAGGCCCTGCTACTAAATAACTTATCAAGTTCAAAGTCTGATGAAACTGACTGCGGAGACTCTGGTCTATTCTCATCAAATAGGGTTTCCAGACACAAATCAGTACCTTCCCAGTCAGAAAATGTTGATTCTGGGGTAAACGACCTGTGTCTTGACAATTCCATATCGTAAACAACATGGGGACATCTGAACTGAGGAACAGGTGAGTCAGGAGAGAGGGGTCTAAGTTCACTTTGAGATGAGACCGACTCGGGAGAATGTGGTCTTAAGTCGGTGACACACTCGTCTACGGATGAGTGAGTGTATTCCTTTTCTGATGACACAGACATGGGCCAAAGTGGTCTCAGCTCAAATGATCTGACGCCCAAAAACGCATCAGCATGTTTTTCATGTGTAATGCCCCGCACAATATCTGCATATGTATAAGGTCTGGCAGCAGAAAGTGGTGGAGATGTGGTCACAGTTACGCCTGTTTGCTTATTTTCAATCTGTGAAGAAAATGAGTCTGGTGAATCTGGTCTGCTGTCGTCAAACAAGTCCTCAAGATAAAATCCAGAATACTCAACATCTGACGTTGTTGAAATAGGTGATACGGGTCTACTTTCAGAGTACTGTAAGTAATAGTTACAATGTTGACTATTAATCCGACCAAATGTCATCCGAGGATACAAACAGCACTGATCAAATGACACAACGGATTCTGGGGAGGATGCTCTAAAGTCTAACAACCAGTCCTGAATAAGAGAAAAGTCCAAATCGGAAGACACAGATTCTGGGGACAAGGCCCTGCTACTAAATAACTTATCAAGTTCAAAGTCTGATGAAACTGACTGCGGAGACTCTGGTCTATTCTCATCAAATAGGGTTTCCAGACACAAATCAGTACCTTCCCAGTCAGAAAATGTTGATTCTGGGGTAAACGACCTGTGTCTTGACAATTCCATATCGTAAACAACATGGGGACATCTGAACTGAGGAACAGGTGAGTCAGGAGAGAGGGGTCTAAGTTCACTTTGAGATGAGACCGACTCGGGAGAATGTGGTCTTAAGTCGGTGACACACTCGTCTACGGATGAGTGAGTGTATTCCTTTTCTGATGACACAGACATGGGCCAAAGTGGTCTCAGCTCAAATGATCTGACGCCCAAAAACGCATCAGCATGTTTTTCATGTGTAATGCCCCGCACAATATCTGCATATGTATAAGGTCTGGCAGCAGAAAGTGGTGGAGATGTGGTCACAGTTACGCCTGTTTGCTTATTTTCAATCCGTGAAGAAAATGAGTCTGGTGAATCTGGTCTGTTGTCGTCAAACAAGTCCTCAAGATAAAATCCAGAATACTCAACATCTGACGTTGTTGAAATAGGTGATACGGGTCTACTTTCAGAGTACTGTAAGTAATAGTTACAATGTTGACTATTAATCTGGCCAAATGTCATCCGAGGATACAAACAGCGCTGATCAAATGACACAACAGATTCCGGGGAGGATGCTCGGAAGTCTAACAACCAGTCCTGAATGAGAGAAAAGTCAAAATCGGAAGACACGGATTCCGGGGACAAGGCCCTGCTACTAAATAACTTATTAAGTTCAAAGTCTGATGAAACTGACTGCGGAGACTCTGGTCTATTCTCATCAAATAGGGTTTCCAGACACAAATCAGTACCTTCCCAGTCAGAAAATGTTGATTCTGGGGTAAACGACCTGTGTCTTGACAATTCCATATCGTAAACATGGGGAAAACTGAACTGAGGAATAGGTGAGTCAGGAGAAAGGGGTCTAACCTGGCCAAATGTCATGGGAGGAGACAAACACCACTGCTCAGCTGACACAACATATTCCGGGGAGGATGCTCTGAAGTCTAACAACCAGTCCTGAATGAGAGAAAAGTCAAAATCGGAAGACACGGATTCTGGGGACAATGCCCTGCTACTAAATAACTTATCGAGTTCAAAGTCTGATAAAACTGACTGCGGAGACTCTGGTCTATTCTCATCAAATAGGGTTTCCAGACACAAATCAGTACCTTCCCAGTCAGAAAATGTTGATTCTGGGGTAAACGACCTGTGTCTTGACAATTCCATATCGTAAACAACATGGGGACATCTGAACTGAGGAACAGGTGAGTCAGGAGAGAGGGGTCTAAGTTCACTTTGAGATGAGACCGACTCGGGAGAATGTGGTCTTAAGTCGGTGACACACTCGTCTACGGATGAGTGAGTGTATTCCTTTTCTGATGACACAGACATGGGCCAAAGTGGTCTCAGCTCAAATGATCTGACGCCCAAAAACCCATCAGCATGTTTTTCATGTGTAATGCCCCGCACAATATCTGCATATGTATAAGGTCTGGCAGCAGAAAGTGGTGGAGATGTGGTCACAGTTACGCCTGTTTGCTTATTTTCAATCTGTGAAGAAAATGAGTCTGGTGAATCTGGTCTGCTGTCGTCAAACAAGTCCTCAAGATAAAATCCAGAATACTCAACATCTGACGTTGTTGAAATAGGTGATACAGGTCTACTTTCAGAGTACTGTAAGTAATAGTTACAATGTTGACTATTAATCTGGCCAAATGTCATCCGAGGATACAAACAGCACTGATCAAATGACACAACAGATTCTGGGGAGGATGCTCTAAAGTCTAACAACCAGTCCTGAATAAGAGAAAAGTCCAAATCGGAAGACACAGATTCTGGGGACAAGGCCCTGCTACTAAATAACTTATCAAGTTCAAAGTCTGATGAAACTGACTGCGGAGACTCTGGTCTATTCTCATCAAATAGGGTTTCCAGACACAAATCAGTACCTTCCCAGTCAGAAAATGTTGATTCTGGGGTAAACGACCTGTGTCTTGACAATTCCATATCGTAAACATGGGGAAAACTGAACTGAGGAATAGGTGAGTCAGGAGAAAGGGGTCTAACCTGGCCAAATGTCATGGGAGGAGACAAACACCACTGCTCAGCTGACACAACATATTCCGGGGAGGATGCTCTGAAGTCTAACAACCAGTCCTGAATGAGAGAAAAGTCAAAATCGGAAGACACGGATTCCGGGGACAACGCCCTGCTACTAAATAACTTATCAAGTTCAAAGTCTGATAAAACTGACTGCGGAGACTCTGGTCTATTCTCATCAAATAGGGTTTCCAGACACAAATCAGTACCTTCCCAGTCAGAAAATGTTGATTCTGGGTTAAACGACCTGTGTCTTGACAATTCCATATCGTAAACATGGGGAAAACTGAACTGAGGAATAGGTGAGTCAGGAGAAAGGGGTCTAACCTGGCCAAATGTCATGGGAGGAGACAAACACCACTGCTCAGCTGACACAACATATTCCGGGGAGGATGCTCTGAAGTCTAACAACCAGTCCTGAATGAGAGAAAAGTCAAAATCGGAAGACACGGATTCTGGGGACAATGCCCTGCTACTAAATAACTTATCGAGTTCAAAGTCTGATAAAACTGACTGCGGAGACTCTGGTCTATTCTCATCAAATAGGGTTTCCAGACACAAATCAGTACCTTCCCAGTCAGAAAATGTTGATTCTGGGGTAAACGACCTGTGTCTTGACAATTCCATATCGTAAACAACATGGGGACATCTGAACTGAGGAACAGGTGAGTCAGGAGAGAGGGGTCTAAGTTCACTTTGAGATGAGACCGACTCGGGAGAATGTGGTCTTAAGTCGGTGACACACTCGTCTACGGATGAGTGAGTGTATTCCTTTTCTGATGACACAGACATGGGCCAAAGTGGTCTCAGCTCAAATGATCTGACGCCCAAAAACCCATCAGCATGTTTTTCATGTGTAATGCCCCGCACAATATCTGCATATGTATAAGGTCTGGCAGCAGAAAGTGGTGGAGATGTGGTCACAGTTACGCCTGTTTGCTTATTTTCAATCTGTGAAGAAAATGAGTCTGGTGAATCTGGTCTGCTGTCGTCAAACAAGTCCTCAAGATAAAATCCAGAATACTCAACATCTGACGTTGTTGAAATAGGTGATACGGGTCTACTTTCAGAGTACTGTAAGTAATAGTTACAATGTTGACTATTAATCCGACCAAATGTCATCCGAGGATACAAACAGCACTGATCAAATGACACAACGGATTCTGGGGAGGATGCTCTAAAGTCTAACAACCAGTCCTGAATAAGAGAAAAGTCCAAATCGGAAGACACAGATTCTGGGGACAAGGCCCTGCTACTAAATAACTTATCAAGTTCAAAGTCTGATGAAACTGACTGCGGAGACTCTGGTCTATTCTCATCAAATAGGGTTTCCAGACACAAATCAGTACCTTCCCAGTCAGAAAATGTTGATTCTGGGGTAAACGACCTGTGTCTTGACAATTCCATATCGTAAACAACATGGGGACATCTGAACTGAGGAACAGGTGAGTCAGGAGAGAGGGGTCTAAGTTCACTTTGAGATGAGACCGACTCGGGAGAATGTGGTCTTAAGTCGGTGACACACTCGTCTACGGATGAGTGAGTGTATTCCTTTTCTGATGACACAGACATGGGCCAAAGTGGTCTCAGCTCAAATGATCTGACGCCCAAAAACGCATCAGCATGTTTTTCATGTGTAATGCCCCGCACAATATCTGCATATGTATAAGGTCTGGCAGCAGAAAGTGGTGGAGATGTGGTCACAGTTACGCCTGTTTGCTTATTTTCAATCTGTGAAGAAAATGAGTCTGGTGAATCTGGTCTGCTGTCGTCAAACAAGTCCTCAAGATAAAATCCAGAATACTCAACATCTGACGTTGTTGAAATAGGTGATACGGGTCTACTTTCAGAGTACTGTAAGTAATAGTTACAATGTTGACTATTAATCTGGCCAAATGTCATCCGAGGATACAAACAGCGCTGATCAAATGACACAACAGATTCTGGGGAGGATGCTCTAAAGTCTAACAGCCAGTCCTGAATAAGAGAAAAGTCCAAATCGGAAGACACAGATTCTGGGGACAACGCCCTGCTACTAAATAACTTATCAAGTTCAAAGTCTGATGAAACTGACTGCGGAGACTCTGGTCTATTCTCATCAAATAGGGTTTCCAGACACAAATCAGTACCTTCCCAGTCAGAAAATGTTGATTCTGGGGTAAACGACCTGTGTCTTGACAATTCCATATCGTAAACATGGGGAAAACTGAACTGAGGAATAGGTGAGTCAGGAGAAAGGGGTCTAACCTGGCCAAATGTCATGGGAGGAGACAAACACCACTGCTCAGCTGACACGACATATTCCGGGGAGGATGCTCTGAAGTCTAACAACCAGTCCTGAATGAGAGAAAAGTCAAAATCGGAAGACACGGATTCCGGGGACAATGCCCTGCTACTAAATAACTTATCAAGTTCAAAGTCTGATAAAACTGACTGCGGAGACTCTGGTCTATTCTCATCAAATAGGGTTTCCAGACACAAATCAGTACCTTCCCAGTCAGAAAATGTTGATTCTGGGGTAAACGACCTGTGTCTTGACAATTCCATATCGTAAACAACATGGGGACATCTGAACTGAGGAACAGGTGAGTCAGGAGAGAGGTGTCTAAGTTCACTTTGAGATGAGACCGACTCGGGAGAATGTGGTCTTAAGTCGGTGACACACTCGTCTACGGATGAGTGAGTGTATTCCTTTTCTGATGACACAGACATGGGCCAAAGTGGTCTCAGCTCAAATGATCTGACGCCCAAAAACGCATCAGCATGTTTTTCATGTGTAATGCCCCGCACAATATCTGCATATGTATAAGGTCTGGCAGCAGAAAGTGGTGGAGATGTGGTCACAGTTACGCCTGTTTGCTTATTTTCAATCTGTGAAGAAAATGAGTCTGGTGAATCTGGTCTGCTGTCGTCAAACAAGTCCTCAAGATAAAATCCAGAATACTCAACATCTGACGTTGTTGAAATAGGTGATACGGGTCTACTTTCAGAGTACTGTAAGTAATAGTTACAATGTTGACTATTAATCTGGCCAAATGTCATCCGAGGATACAAACAGCGCTGATCAAATGACACAACAGATTCTGGGGAGGATGCTCTAAAGTCTAACAACCAGTCCTGAATAAGAGAAAAGTCCAAATCGGAAGACACAGATTCTGGGGACAAGGCCCTGCTACTAAATAACTTATCAAGTTCAAAGTCTGATGAAACTGACTGCGGAGACTCTGGTCTATTCTCATCAAATAGGGTTTCCAGACACAAATCAGTACCTTCCCAGTCAGAAAATGTTGATTCTGGGGTAAACGACCTGTGTCTTGACAATTCCATATCGTAAACATGGGGAAAACTGAACTGAGGAATAGGTGAGTCAGGAGAAAGGGGTCTAACCTGGCCAAATGTCATGGGAGGAGACAAACACCACTGCTCAGCTGACACAACATATTCCGGGGAGGATGCTCTGAAGTCTAACAACCAGTCCTGAATGAGGGAAAAGTCAAAATCGGAAGACACGGATTCCGGGGACAATGCCCTGCTACTAAATAACTTATCAAGTTCAAAGTCTGATAAAACTGACTGCGGAGACTCTGGTCTATTCTCATCAAATAGGGTTTCCAGACACAAATCAGTACCTTCCCAGTCAGAAAATGTTGATTCTGGGGTAAACGACCTGTGTCTTGACAATTCCATATCGTAAACAACATGGGGACATCTGAACTGAGGAACAGGTGAGTCAGGAGAGAGGGGTCTAAGTTCACTTTGAGATGAGACCGACTCGGGAGAATGTGGTCTTAAGTCGGTGACACACTCGTCTACGGATGAGTGAGTGTATTCCTTTTCTGATGACACAGACATGGGCCAAAGTGGTCTCAGCTCCAATGATCTGACGCCCAAAAACGCATCAGCATGTTTTTCATGTGTAATGCCCCGCACAATATCTGCATATGTATAAGGTCTGGCAGCAGAAAGTGGTGGAGATGTGGTCACAGTTACGCCTTTTTGCTTATTTTCAATCCGTGAAGAAAATGAGTCTGGTGAATCTGGTCTGTTGTCGTCAAACAAGTCCTCAAGATAAAATCCAGAATACTCAACATCTGATGTTGTTGAAATAGGTGATACGGGTCTACTTTCAGAGTAATGTAAGTAATAGTTACAATGTTGACTATTAATCTGGCCAAATGTCATCCGAGGATACAAACAGCGCTGATCAAATGACACAACAGATTCTGGGGAAGATGCTCTAAAGTCTAACAACCAGTCCTGAATGAGAGAAAAGTCCAAATCGGAAGACACAGATTCTGGGGACAAGGCCCTGCTACTAAATAACTTATCAAGTTCAAAGTCTGATGAAACTGACTGCGGAGACTCTGGTCTATTCTCATCAAATAGGGTTTCAAGACACAAATCAGTACCTTCCCAGTCAGAAAATGTTGATTCTGGGGTAAACGACCTGTGTCTTGACAATTCCATATCGTAAACATGGGGAAAACTGAACTGAGGAATAGGTGAGTCAGGAGAAAGGGGTCTAACCTGGCCAAATGTCATGGGAGGAGACAAACACCACTGCTCAGCTGACACAACATATTCCGGGGAGGATGCTCTGAAGTCTAACAACCAGTCCTGAATGAGAGAAAAGTCAAAATCGGAAGACACGGATTCCGGGGACAACGCCCTGCTACTAAATAACTTATCAAGTTCAAAGTCTGATAAAACTGACTGCGGAGACTCTGGTCTATTCTCATCAAATAGGGTTTCCAGACACAAATCAGTACCTTCCCAGTCAGAAAATGTTGATTCTGGGGTAAACGACCTGTGTCTTGACAATTCCATATCGTAAACAACATGGGGACATCTGAACTGAGGAACAGGTGAGTCAGGAGAGAGGGGGTCTAAGTTCACTTTGAGATGAGACCGACTCGGGAGAATGTGGTCTTAAGTCGGTGACACACTCGTCTACGGATGAGTGAGTGTATTCCTTTTCTGATGACACAGACATGGGCCAAAGTGGTCTCAGCTCAAATGATCTGACGCCCAAAAACCCATCAGCATGTTTTTCATGTGTAATGCCCCGCACAATATCTGCATATGTATAAGGTCTGGCAGCAGAAAGTGGTGGAGATGTGGTCACAGTTACGCCTGTTTGCTTATTTTCAATCTGTGAAGAAAATGAGTCTGGTGAATCTGGTCTGCTGTCGTCAAACAAGTCCTCAAGATAAAATCCAGAATACTCAACATCTGACGTTGTTGAAATAGGTGATACGGGTCTACTTTCAGAGTACTGTAAGTAATAGTTACAATGTTGACTATTAATCCGACCAAATGTCATCCGAGGATACAAACAGCACTGATCAAATGACACAACGGATTCTGGGGAGGATGCTCTAAAGTCTAACAACCAGTCCTGAATAAGAGAAAAGTCCAAATCGGAAGACACAGATTCTGGGGACAAGGCCCTGCTACTAAATAACTTATCAAGTTCAAAGTCTGATGAAACTGACTGCGGAGACTCTGGTCTATTCTCATCAAATAGGGTTTCCAGACACAAATCAGTACCTTCCCAGTCAGAAAATGTTGATTCTGGGGTAAACGACCTGTGTCTTGACAATTCCATATCGTAAACAACATGGGGACATCTGAACTGAGGAACAGGTGAGTCAGGAGAGAGGGGTCTAAGTTCACTTTGAGATGAGACCGACTCGGGAGAATGTGGTCTTAAGTCGGTGACACACTCGTCTACGGATGAGTGAGTGTATTCCTTTTCTGATGACACAGACATGGGCCAAAGTGGTCTCAGCTCAAATGATCTGACGCCCAAAAACGCATCAGCATGTTTTTCATGTGTAATGCCCCGCACAATATCTGCATATGTATAAGGTCTGGCAGCAGAAAGTGGTGGAGATGTGGTCACAGTTACGCCTGTTTGCTTATTTTCAATCTGTGAAGAAAATGAGTCTGGTGAATCTGGTCTGCTGTCGTCAAACAAGTCCTCAAGATAAAATCCAGAATACTCAACATCTGACGTTGTTGAAATAGGTGATACGGGTCTACTTTCAGAGTACTGTAAGTAATAGTTACAATGTTGACTATTAATCTGGCCAAATGTCATCCGAGGATACAAACAGCGCTGATCAAATGACACAACAGATTCTGGGGAGGATGCTCTAAAGTCTAACAGCCAGTCCTGAATAAGAGAAAAGTCCAAATCGGAAGACACAGATTCTGGGGACAACGCCCTGCTACTAAATAACTTATCAAGTTCAAAGTCTGATGAAACTGACTGCGGAGACTCTGGTCTATTCTCATCAAATAGGGTTTCCAGACACAAATCAGTACCTTCCCAGTCAGAAAATGTTGATTCTGGGGTAAACGACCTGTGTCTTGACAATTCCATATCGTAAACATGGGGAAAACTGAACTGAGGAATAGGTGAGTCAGGAGAAAGGGGTCTAACCTGGCCAAATGTCATGGGAGGGAGACAAACACCACTGCTCAGCTGACACGACATATTCCGGGGAGGATGCTCTGAAGTCTAACAACCAGTCCTGAATGAGAGAAAAGTCAAAATCGGAAGACACGGATTCCGGGGACAATGCCCTGCTACTAAATAACTTATCAAGTTCAAAGTCTGATAAAACTGACTGCGGAGACTCTGGTCTATTCTCATCAAATAGGGTTTCCAGACACAAATCAGTACCTTCCCAGTCAGAAAATGTTGATTCTGGGGTAAACGACCTGTGTCTTGACAATTCCATATCGTAAACAACATGGGGACATCTGAACTGAGGAACAGGTGAGTCAGGAGAGAGGTGTCTAAGTTCACTTTGAGATGAGACCGACTCGGGAGAATGTGGTCTTAAGTCGGTGACACACTCGTCTACGGATGAGTGAGTGTATTCCTTTTCTGATGACACAGACATGGGCCAAAGTGGTCTCAGCTCAAATGATCTGACGCCCAAAACGCATCAGCATGTTTTTCATGTGTAATGCCCCGCACAATATCTGCATATGTATAAGGTCTGGCAGCAGAAAGTGGTGGAGATGTGGTCACAGTTACGCCTGTTTGCTTATTTTCAATCTGTGAAGAAAATGAGTCTGGTGAATCTGGTCTGCTGTCGTCAAACAAGTCCTCAAGATAAAATCCAGAATACTCAACATCTGACGTTGTTGAAATAGGTGATACGGGTCTACTTTCAGAGTACTGTAAGTAATAGTTACAATGTTGACTATTAATCTGGCCAAATGTCATCCGAGGATACAAACAGCGCTGATCAAATGACACAACAGATTCTGGGGAGGATGCTCTAAAGTCTAACAACCAGTCCTGAATAAGAGAAAAGTCCAAATCGGAAGACACAGATTCTGGGGACAAGGCCCTGCTACTAAATAACTTATCAAGTTCAAAGTCTGATGAAACTGACTGCGGAGACTCTGGTCTATTCTCATCAAATAGGGTTTCCAGACACAAATCAGTACCTTCCCAGTCAGAAAATGTTGATTCTGGGGTAAACGACCTGTGTCTTGACAATTCCATATCGTAAACATGGGGAAAACTGAACTGAGGAATAGGTGAGTCAGGAGAAAGGGGGTCTAACCTGGCCAAATGTCATGGGAGGAGACAAACACCACTGCTCAGCTGACACAACATATTCCGGGGAGGATGCTCTGAAGTCTAACAACCAGTCCTGAATGAGGGAAAAGTCAAAATCGGAAGACACGGATTCGGGGACAATGCCCTGCTACTAAATAACTTATCAAGTTCAAAGTCTGATAAAACTGACTGCGGAGACTCTGGTCTATTCTCATCAAATAGGGTTTCCAGACACAAATCAGTACCTTCCCAGTCAGAAAATGTTGATTCTGGGGTAAACGACCTGTGTCTTGACAATTCCATATCGTAAACAACATGGGGACATCTGAACTGAGGAACAGGTGAGTCAGGAGAGAGGGGTCTAAGTTCACTTTGAGATGAGACCGACTCGGGAGAATGTGGTCTTAAGTCGGTGACACACTCGTCTACGGATGAGTGAGTGTATTCCTTTTCTGATGACACAGACATGGGCCAAAGTGGTCTCAGCTCCAATGATCTGACGCCCAAAAACGCATCAGCATGTTTTTCATGTGTAATGCCCCGCACAATATCTGCATATGTATAAGGTCTGGCAGCAGAAAGTGGTGGAGATGTGGTCACAGTTACGCCTTTTTGCTTATTTTCAATCCGTGAAGAAAATGAGTCTGGTGAATCTGGTCTGTTGTCGTCAAACAAGTCCTCAAGATAAAATCCAGAATACTCAACATCTGATGTTGTTGAAATAGGTGATACGGGTCTACTTTCAGAGTAATGTAAGTAATAGTTACAATGTTGACTATTAATCTGGCCAAATGTCATCCGAGGATACAAACAGCGCTGATCAAATGACACAACAGATTCTGGGGAAGATGCTCTAAAGTCTAACAACCAGTCCTGAATGAGAGAAAAGTCCAAATCGGAAGACACAGATTCTGGGGACAAGGCCCTGCTACTAAATAACTTATCAAGTTCAAAGTCTGATGAAACTGACTGCGGAGACTCTGGTCTATTCTCATCAAATAGGGTTTCAAGACACAAATCAGTACCTTCCCAGTCAGAAAATGTTGATTCTGGGGTAAACGACCTGTGTCTTGACAATTCCATATCGTAAACATGGGGAAAACTGAACTGAGGAATAGGTGAGTCAGGAGAAAGGGGTCTAACCTGGCCAAATGTCATGGGAGGAGACAAACACCACTGCTCAGCTGACACAACATATTCCGGGAGGATGCTCTGAAGTCTAACAACCAGTCCTGAATGAGAGAAAAGTCAAAATCGGAAGACACGGATTCCGGGGACAACGCCCTGCTACTAAATAACTTATCAAGTTCAAAGTCTGATAAAACTGACTGCGGAGACTCTGGTCTATTCTCATCAAATAGGGTTTCCAGACACAAATCAGTACCTTCCCAGTCAGAAAATGTTGATTCTGGGGTAAACGACCTGTGTCTTGACAATTCCATATCGTAAACAACATGGGGACATCTGAACTGAGGAACAGGTGAGTCAGGAGAGAGGGGTCTAAGTTCACTTTGAGATGAGACCGACTCGGGAGAATGTGGTCTTAAGTCGGTGACACACTCGTCTACGGATGAGTGAGTGTATTCCTTTTCTGATGACACAGACATGGGCCAAAGTGGTCTCAGCTCCAATGATCTGACGCCCAAAAACGCATCAGCATGTTTTTCATGTGTAATGCCCCGCACAATATCTGCATATGTATAAGGTCTGGCAGCAGAAAGTGGTGGAGATGTGGTCACAGTTACGCCTTTTTGCTTATTTTCAATCCGTGAAGAAAATGAGTCTGGTGAATCTGGTCTGTTGTCGTCAAACAAGTCCTCAAGATAAAATCCAGAATACTCAACATCTGATGTTGTTGAAATAGGTGATACGGGTCTACTTTCAGAGTACTGTAAGTAATAGTTACAATGTTGACTATTAATCTGGCCAAATGTCATCCGAGGATACAAACAGCGCTGATCAAATGACACAACAGATTCTGGGGAAGATGCTCTAAAGTCTAACAACCAGTCCTGAATGAGGGAAAAGTCAAAATCGGAAGACACGGATTCGGGGGACAATGCCCTGCTACTAAATAACTTATCAAGTTCAAAGTCTGATAAAACTGACTGCGGAGACTCTGGTCTATTCTCATCAAATAGGGTTTCCAGACACAAATCAGTACCTTCCCAGTCAGAAAATGTTGATTCTGGGGTAAACGACCTGTGTCTTGACAATTCCATATCGTAAACAACATGGGGACATCTGAACTGAGGAACAGGTGAGTCAGGAGAGAGGGGGTCTAAGTTCACTTTGAGATGAGACCGACTCGGGAGAATGTGGTCTTAAGTCGGTGACACACTCGTCTACGGATGAGTGAGTGTATTCCTTTTCTGATGACACAGACATGGGCCAAAGTGGTCTCAGCTCCAATGATCTGACGCCCAAAACGCATCAGCATGTTTTTCATGTGTAATGCCCCGCACAATATCTGCATATGTATAAGGTCTGGCAGCAGAAAGTGGTGGAGATGTGGTCACAGTTACGCCTGTTTGCTTATTTTCAATCCGTGAAGAAAATGAGTCTGGTGAATCTGGTCTGTTGTCGTCAAACAAGTCCTCAAGATAAAATCCAGAATACTCAACATCTGATGTTGTTGAAATAGGTGATACGGGTCTACTTTCAGAGTAATGTAAGTAATAGTTACAATGTTGACTATTAATCTGGCCAAATGTCATCCGAGGATACAAACAGCGCTGATCAAATGACACAACAGATTCTGGGGAAGATGCTCTAAAGTCCTAACAACCAGTCCTGAATGAGAGAAAAGTCCAAATCGGAAGACACAGATTCTGGGGACAAGGCCCTGCTACTAAATAACTTATCAAGTTCAAAGTCTGATGGAAACTGACTGCGGAGACTCTGGTCTATTCTCATCAAATAGGGTTTCAAGACACAAATCAGTACCTTCCCAGTCAGAAAATGTTGATTCTGGGGTAAAACGACCTGTGTCTTGACAATTCAATATCGTAAACATGGGGAAAACTGAACTGAGGAATAGGTGAGTCAGGAGAAAGGGGTCTAACCTGGCCAAATGTCATGGGAGGAGACAAACACCACTGCTCAGCTGACACAACATATTCCGGGGAGGATGCTCTGAAGTCTAACAACCAGTCCTGAATGAGAGAAAAGTCAAAATCGGAAGACACGGATTCCGGGGGACAACGCCCTGCTACTAAATAACTTATCAAGTTCAAAGTCTGATAAAACTGACTGCGGAGACTCTGGTCTATTCTCATCAAATAGGGTTTCCAGACACAAATCAGTACCTTCCCAGTCAGAAAATGTTGATTCTGGGGTAAACGACCTGTGTCTTGACAATTCCATATCGTAAACATGGGGAAAACTGAACTGAGGAATAGGTGAGTCAGGAGAAAGGGGGTCTAACCTGGCCAAATGTCATGGGAGGAGACAAACACCACTGCTCAGCTGACACAACATATTCCGGGGAGGATGCTCTGAAGTCTAACAACCAGTCCTGAATGAGAGAAAAGTCAAAATCGGAAGACACGGATTCCGGGACAACGCCCTGCTACTAAATAACTTATCAAGTTCAAAGTCTGATAAAACTGACTGCGGAGACTCTGGTCTATTCTCATCAAATAGGGTTTCCAGACACAAATCAGTACCTTCCCAGTCAGAAAATGTTGATTCTGGGGTAAACGACCTGTGTGCTTGACAATTCCATATCAGTAAACAACATGGGGACATCTGAACTGAGGAACAAGTGATTCAGGAGAGAGGGGTCTAAGTTCACTTTGAGATGAGACCGACTCGGGAGAATGTGGTCTTAAGTCGGTGACACACTCGTCTACAGGTGAGTGAGTGTATTCCTTTTCTGATGACACAGACATGGGCCAAAGTGGTCTCAGCTCCAATGATCTGACGCCCAAAAACGCATCAGCATGTTTTTCATGTGTAATGCCCCGCACAATATCTGCATATGTATAAGGTCTGGCAGCAGAAAGTGGTGGAGATGTGGTCAAAGTTACGCCTGTTTGCTTATTTTCAATCCGTGAAGAAAATGAGTCTGGGTGAATCTGGTCTGTTGTCGTCAAACAAGTCCTCAAGATAAAATCCAGAATAATACTCAACATCTGACGTTGTTGAAATAGGTGATACGGGTCTACTTTCAGAGTACTGTAAGTAATAGTTACAATGTTGACTATTAATCTGGCCAAATGTCATCCGAGGATACAAACAGCGCTGATCAAATGACACAACAGATTCTGGGGAGGATGCTCTAAAGTCTAACAACCAGTCCTGAATAAGAGAAAAGTCCAAATCGGAAGACACAGATTCTGGGGACAAGGCCCTGCTACTAAATAACTTATCAAGTTCAAAGTCTGATGAAACTGACTGCGGAGACTCTGGTCTATTCTCATCAAATAGGGTTTCCAGACACAAATCAGTACCTTCCCAGTCAGAAAATGTTGATTCTGGGGTAAACGACCTGTGTCTTGACAATTCCATATCGTAAACATGGGGAAAACTGAACTGAGGAATAGGTGAGTCAGGAGAAAGGGGTCTAACCTGGCCAAATGTCATGGGAGGAGACAAACACCACTGCTCAGCTGACACAACATATTCCGGGGAGGATGCTCTGAAGTCTAACAACCAGTCCTGAATGAGAGAAAAGTCAAAAATCGGAAGACACGGATTCCGGGGGGACAATGCCCTGCTACTAAATAACTTATCAAGTTCAAAGTCTGATAAAACTGACTGCGGAGACTCTGGTCTATTCTCATCAAATAGGGTTTCCAGACACAAATCAGTACCTTCCCAGTCAGAAAATGTTGATTCTGGGGTAAACGACCTGTGTCTTGACAATTCCATATCGTAAACAACATGGGGACATCTGAACTGAGGAACAGGTGAGTCAGGAGAGAGGGTCTAAGTTCACTTTGAGATGAGACCGACTCGGGAGAATGGTCTTAAGTCGGTGACACACTCGTCTACGGATGAGTGAGTGTATTCCTTTTCTGATGACACAGACATGGGCCAAAGTGGTCTCAGCTCCAATGATCTGGCCCAAAAACGCATCAGCATGTTTTCATGTGTAATGCCCCCGCACAATATCTGCATATGTATAAGGTCTGGCAGCAGAAAGTGGTGGAGATGTGGTCACAGTTACGCCTTTTTGCTTATTTTCAATCCGTGAAGAAAATGAGTCTGGTGAATCTGGTCTGTTGTCGTCAAACAAGTCCTCAAGATAAATCCAGAATACTCAACATCTGACGTTGTTGAAATAGGTGATACGGGTCTACTTTCAGAGTACTGTAAGTAATAATTACAATGTTGACTGTTAATCTGGCCAAATGTCATCCGAGGAGACAAACAGCGCTGATCAACTGACACAACAGATT